TCAAAATAATCTTCTGAGGCAGACACTATTAGTACCCCCATTTTATAGATATGTACACTGAGGTTCCCAAAGATTAATTAGTTTGTCTATCATTAACTTAAGAAGTAACTTGCCAGTAAAAGGGACGGGATTAAAATCCAAGCACCAGAATATTTGCTCTTAACCACTATACTACTCCACAAGAAAAAAACAATTTGATGGATATAATTACATTCAATGTTTAAAATAAATTTTGATGAAAAGTAACATGAAAAATCAGTTTGAAATATACATGCCGAAGGGTCAGAAAGTACTTGAAGGAGCATAAAGAAATAAATATTTGTCTTTTGATATTGAATAATTAACTGATTCAAATGTTCAATGGCCTTTTTTTTTAGGTCCTACAAAAATTCCAACTAGTCATTTACTCTGAATAGGTCCATTTGGAGTAGTTGGGGTAGGTCAGGCAGTTAAATAAACTGATTGATTAATCCAGTTTCAGATAAAAAGAATTATATCACTGAATAAATGCATTAAAATTTTCTTCTGCTAATAACCTGAAATAGAATAAATGAGAAAAAGTAGAATCTTTAGATCTGTCACTTTTAACCTGATTCCAGAGATAAAAAGCTGTTACTCAACACAACACTACCCGTACTTGATAGGGAACTGAGACTGAAAAAGAAAACCCAGGTGTGTAATAGATAGACTTGTACATTTGTTTTCTGTGGATTTCTCATGGGAATAGTAAGACAACCTATGTCACCAGCACATGCTCATTTGTAAAGGTGTCATAAATAACCCTAGATCAGGGCAACCTGACCATGCAACTCTGAACAGAGAAAGGCATAGGGAAGATGGAACTCATAGGAGAAGCTGGAGAATCTGAGGACTATTGAGCCTTCTGGGTTCCTGATCATAGTTTTTGGCCCTTATGAGCATCCTGAATGGCCAGCATACTTGGGATGTCTTGTAAAGTATAGCATCTTGCAGCAGATAAAAACCTTTATGAATCAGTCACACAGCTCCTTCGGTTGAGTGGTATAAACTGTCCCAATGGAGAACTATGGGATGCAGTCAGAAGAGCCCCTTACTCAAGGAGGCTGACCAGGTCAAATCGTCACACACTTCATGAGCACATGAAATAATGCATGTTACTTATTCAAGCCAGTAGAAAGCAAGAGATGTGAAAAACTGGCCCCAACATATAACCTTTTAAAATCTGTAAATTATATATACTTTTTTTCTCTGAGATGTCTCATCACCAATTACTGCCACGTTTATAAGCAGTACAGAATAGAATAGCAAACTCTGACCTTTTAGGTAGATTCAGGTAAACCTGATAAAAGTGAATAAACACTAAATCAGTTAAAGAAATATATTGTAAGAAAAATGTAGGAAATGGTTACACTCATAATTCATAGTATTTGTCATAAACTGTCCTTTTGATGTCCAGAATCTCTCTTTAATTAGGAACAATAAAACCAATTTGCTTTATCAAGATTTTTTTGTCACAAAAAAGTAATCACTTATGATTCGATATGTGCATCATTCAGAGTATTGTTTTAATTTTACCATTAAGTTGGTTTAAAAGAATTTTCCTCACTAGAAATACATGCTATTGTTTAAAAAAACAAAGAATGCATTGTTCATATTTAACATTTGACAAACTACCCAAGTTTATGACGAATGTAATTGCTATCATGAAATATTTTTTATCTCAATTTAATAACAAAAATGCTATCGGTGTACAAAAAAAAGAGCCCCAGGATCATGAAAATCCCCTCTTCAAGAAAATTATTTTAAAGACAACATGAGTTTTTAGAGCATAGAGAATAAATCATAATTCTTTGTTAACAATTTAGCTGTTTCTGACCAATGAACACCTCTGATTCAGACTGCTATCCAATGACAGCAGGCTTTGACTTTTAGTTAATATTATTAAGGTACCTCTTTTGCCTTATGCTGATGATTACAAACTGAAAGGCCCACTCACAAAAAATAAATCTGATGATATACAAAAATGTTTAAACACATGTATACCGAAAATTTGGCATTAAAAAGTGTTTTATCTGAAATAAATAAGGAGAGTAATGTAGTGAATGAATCTCTTCCATACTACTACTGGTACTGTCTGACCCTTTCTTAGCTGAGATGGTCATTTTTGCCTCTTGAAAGTAAAAACAATACAATGTACTCTTTTTCTGTAACAGGCTTTCATTAGCATTTTAAATATCTCCTGTTCTGATAATTGGAAACTCCAAATATTTCTACTCTGACAAAGCAGACCGGAAAGAGTTAATATGAATACCTCTACCCAGTAACCCACCTCCAGGGGAAAATACATAGGATTTTAAACCATAAATTATAAGGATGAAAAGTATGGGGATCCCACCAATTGTGAAGTTCAGTGAGGAATAAAGCAGAGTAATCTCAGTTGTCAGCATAAAAAGCATCTTTCAGAAGCTTTGTTCCAACTATAATAACTTGATGTGCTTTCTAGAAAAAAAATTTATGATCATATGAGCTTCATGCATGATTGATACCACTACTGTTTAAGACTGCCCTTGAGAATCAATAAAATAAAGCATCCCTAGTGTATGTTTTGCAACCAAGAATGAGGCACACAATTTAAGTGCCATTTCTGGAGATGATCTGAAGGACTATTCTTCCTATTAGTGTCTCCTACCAAAAAAAAAAAAGGACCTAATAAAAATGAATCAGTCAGGAATTCATTTAAGAATATATCTTGCCATCCCATGTTCTTTATACTACATTGAATTAACTAGCAGCTACTGTAATGATTTGAAAAGTAACAGAGGTTATCATTGCACATAAAAAAAATGTAACTCCAACTAAGGAGATGCTCAAGTGATTGAAAAAAAGAAAACTATTTGGGAACAATGCAAACTATGAAGTATAATCTACTCTAAATCATTAGAAAATCCCCTTTGTATCAAATAAGCTTTCTAGGTTTCAGATGGCACATGACTCTTATCTTTTATAATTAAATCCCTTCATTTAATAAATATGGATTAAAGAACTTAAATATTCTAAAAATGGGAAAATAACTTCTTTTCCCATGAATTTTTTTTCACATATATCTTGAAGAAAGAGATGATGGAAATTCAAAATGAAACCTTTTTTTGGGAAAATCATAACTTATGCATAGTAATATCTGATTGAACTGAGAAATTCAAACTATGAAGAAATACAATCAAATTTATGTTTAGCCTCAAAAAGGAAACCTACTAATCATCAAAACATTGATCGATGCTCTCCCAATAATCTCTGGAAACAAACCTAAAACTTTCCCAAAGCAGGCAGTCATCAATCCACGCTCTGCCTCCCTCTTGAGAGTGAACAAGATAAAACCTAACACTTTTAACCTCCTCCCTTATGCCCCACCTCACCATCATTACACCACCACCAATCTGAAGCAATAGGCCCTTCTGTTTGTAACGTTATGAATAACAGCTTGCCACTTTCATTCCTGCAATCTATGAACTAACTACTTCTTCAAGACTAAATTATCTCTCGATTTAAATGTTAGATACAAAAATCCATCTGTGACATGTAATTCCAAAAGTCCAAATTTGCAATCAAGAGAAGTCTAGACTTTCAACTCCTTTCCATGGCTGTTTTTATTCAGAAAAACAAAGTTGCATTTTTCAAAGGGTTAAACAGCTTTGGTTTTCAAATTGTGGTTTCTGTGTAATATAATCATACTTAACATCTGTAAACTTTAACTCTTTTGATAATGATTCTTACTTTTCCAAATACTTTCTCTACTAATCATTGTATACTACATGAAGTCCTAAGAACATTTATACAAAGAGTTATATTCAGAATATGCCCTCACACATGGCATTTATTATGCACACTTTGCATGTAAATGTTATATGAAAATGTTCAAATACTGTGCAACAGGTCCCGCCATTGTGTAAACACACACTCCCAACAGAATGACAGTAAGCTTTAGAGAAGCAACAAGAAATCACATTATCCTTAAGAGACTCAATAATAATTACTTTAAGATGTCATAAAATAGAAGAGCTAATCAAAAGGAGTGGTTTACTAAGACCCTCTTACTGTCTTTGTTTTCCTCCGTGTAAGTGATAAACGGGTGTTAGAGCCCAGGTGTATTCCCTCTTCCATTGATTTAGTGCACATTACTGGCTCTAGTGCTGAGATGATGACAGGAAGAGTACTTTGGCAGAGGTCTGACCAGTCTTTATCCTTAAGTTCCCTTTTGCTTTGTCTTTCTGTTCCCAAAGCTATCAGAGTAAAGCAAATGACAGTCTAAAATCTCTCAGTTCTGCCATTAGAGTGTGAAATCAAATTAAAAACACACCTCGTAACTATTACATTGTGCCACGTTTATTTTCAATTGGCGGGGGAGGGGAGGAGAAGACACTTAGAACTGAGATGGATTTCAGGTCCTCTGTGTAGCCAGATCTAGTTACAGTGTATTAAGTTATGTCTAAATGAGAAAAAGACGCTGTCCAGTCAAGTGTTTTATCACAAAGTAACGTTATCAAACATATCAAGTATTCCCACGCTCTCCTCTAGATTCTTTGATTTTTAACCTCCTTTGTTAAGCACAAAACAAGGGGAGAAAGATTTCAGCGATAACCCCAAGGCAGCACATGATGCCAAGTAATGAATTCTGTATTTTCCGAGCAGTTTATTCATCATAAACTTAAGCTCCTTTTATTAAGCCACACGTTTGCTGTAAGTAGGACTTCGCCTCTTCCACGGATAGAAAGCATGGACCGGCTGCAACTGTATCTTTGGGCGCACAGCATCGTGCTTTGTGCTGCTGGGGATAACGGATTCTCGTTCTCGCGCGCATCCATCACCTAAGACACAGGGAAACTCAACAAAGGTCTTGGCAGCTGGAAGGGAAACAATGTGTCGAAACCCTGGCTGCTCTGAGCCACAAGGTTCCAAGGAGGGAAAGCAACGTTTCAGGGAGCAACCCAGACGCAGGGGGAGGAAGAAAATGCTCATACTCTTACCTCCACATTGAAATACTGCTCCGTTCCGCAGACAGTAGCACATAAAATCCAAAGCAAGGTATGCAAGAAAAATATCCCCGAATGATGCACGAAATCCAACCGTCTTCCAGTGCTGAATGTGAGTAAGATCATAGTGAACTGTGCTTCAATGGATGGACGGACTCCCCTTCGTTTTCTCCCTCTCTCCCTCTCCCTCCCTCCCTGGTTTCCTTCAAAAAAAAGTCCTCCGGGTGGGTACGGAGCCTGCAGGTTCACCCACAGCCCGGCAAGGGGAGGAGACAGAGGGCCCGGCGCTCGGCAGACCCCGAGAAGCAGCGGCGGAGTCAGGGAGAGCGGCAGCTCGCGTTCACCATCCTCGGGCCCTGCTCACCGTGGCGCCCAAGTTCACCGGCGGTTCCGGCTCGAAGCGCCAAGTCGCAGCCGCAGCAGCCGCCGCCGCCGCCGCCGCCGCCGCCTCCAGCCCGCGCGTCTCCTCCTCCTTCCCCACCGACCACTCCTCCTCCGCCGCTGCCGCCTCCAGCTTCAGCGATGAGGGCCTCCGTCGCTCCTCGCTCGCCTCTGCGTCCCCTTCCCTCCTCTCCTCGCTCCCCTCCAGAATGTTCATCCGTAATCTACATAACTCCTCCTTCCCGGGGTCTGCTTGACTCCCGGGCCCTCCGCGCGCGCGCGTACACACACACACTAACACACGCTAACACACATCTGCACCGGAGCACACACACGACCCACCACCCGCGCGCGAGCTCGCTTCTTAAAGGAGACGGCTCGTAAAGAGCAAGGGCTACTGTGCCGCGCACTGGAAATAGCCCGCCCGCGGAAAGGCCCCGGGTGGGGACGAGGTCTTTAACATACCAGGCACCCCTTAGCCCCCAGGCAGGCACCCAGAACCTGGGCGACTCCATACTTCCATCTCGCCCACCCCTTGCCGAACACCTAGAAACAAGCGCGCCCCTCCCCTGCCGGGGACTGGGTGGGGCTCAGGCTGCGGACCCCGGTGTGGGCCGAGGAGCGGCTCAGGCCTGGCCCTGGAGCGCTACTGGCGTCCTCAGTCGAGTGGCCCTGGAAGGTCAGGGGGCGCTGGGAATCAAAGGGAGCGCCGGGTCACTGTGCGTTTCTTGGGGGCTCGGGTCGGCCGGCGGGCTGGCGAAGTTTGAGAAGCCTGAAATGGCAAGTCCCGAGCGTCCCAAACTTTGTCGGGGTCTACCTACTAAGCCTGTGGCCCGTTGTCTCCCTGAATCCCCTCTACCATCATTACATCCCGCTTTCCGGGCTCAACTGGGGTTAAGGGGTGCAGTCAAATACAGGAGCTGGAAGAAAATGCCCACTTTCCAGAGGTGTTCTGTCCGGTGGACACACGTACCCACTGGAGGTCGGGAGAGGTAGTCCCGCATGTTAACAAAACCGGGCCACAGCAGGTGGGGGCGCTGTAAAGAAACCCGCTGCGGGATAGGGGAAGGGCTGGGAAAGGAAGGAGAGGCAGCAGCCTGAGGAAAGGCGAGTAAAGCAGCTGGCAAGGGCGGGAGGAAGAGGCTGCGCGCAGACCGAGCGGGGGAGAGGCTGGCGGGAGCGAGGAAAGCTGCAGGCAAGAGGGGGAGGCAGCTGGCAAGAAGCACAGGAGAGCTGCGGACTGGGGAACTTCAGAGGAGGCTGCCAAAAAGGACTCGAGCCGCAGCAGTGCGAGGCAGTGGACAGGGGGGGCAGCAAGCACCAGCCCTTGGCAGGTGATGGCTTGGCTGAAAGGGAAAGGGGGAAGGGAGGCAGGCAGGCATCTGTTTGGGGGCCATGCCAAAAAATGTGCTTTTCCTTGGCAGCCAGCAGAGGGGAAGAGGAGCCCACGGGAAAGAAATGCAGGAGAGGTTGAGTATAAAGGCTGCTCCAGGTATGACAGCTGCCTCGGTGAGGTGGGAGAGAGCACTGACAAGGCAAATTTTATGGGTGAGTTGGCAATGCAAGAAGTAGGACTGCAAGAGGTCGTGTTTGGTAAGCAGATGGGAAATGTTGAAAAACAGTTTGCCAAAAATTGCACTGGACTGTTATGATTTGTATACTAAAGAGAAACATACAAAAAAAGTGGAGGAATAGTACTTTGCAGCTAATGCTTTGTAAACTGTAGGAAATATGACCCACCCAACTTGACCGAGGCTGTCAAGGAGACTTTCCTGACAGTCTGCTGCTCCCTGCAGAGCATGTCCTACACACAAAAAAATTTTGAAGACATGATAAGGAGAAATACCTTATATTGTATAGCATATTAAAAATGTTGAGGAATTTTTCCATACATAGTATCTCTTTTATTTCTCATGACATCCCTGAGCGTTTTATTCATTCCATAGATGGGAAATTGATTGTAATAACAGATAACTTTCCAGCAAACTATTCAAATAGCAGAATTCAGACCTGAGTTTCCTGACTCCCAGTTCAATGCATTTCCCACTATACTCCAGTGATTTTTCCATACAGAAATCCATTTCTGCTCTTAACACTTTATAACGCACAGGTTGAGATGACTTACATCAAAAAACAATTAGAAGGCAACATGAAAGCAACTTGAAACTTATATACAAGTTATATGGTGTTGTGTGCAAATATAGAGTAACAAAATGTGGTGGCAAAATTTGTCAAAAATCAAGAACCATTTTATGTATACTTTATATCTAGTAAAGTGCAAAGTTAGAGAAGGAAGAGATAGAGAAAAAAAACTTTATAATCTTTCCCTAGTCCTTAAGATGTTATTGAAGGGAGATAGGTAAAACCAATTGATACAAGACATACATGAGAAAACTGTTTTAGATGGTGAATGAAGTCCTCTGTAAATGAGCCAGAATATTAGAAGACTTTATTAAGGAAGTAAAATGCAAGCTGAGTGCTGCTGAGCTATCATCAAGGAGCGATTTCTCACTGATAAGCAACCTATTTGTCAAAGATAATACCTGAGCTCAGAACAGAGATGCATGAACAAAGTATTTGTGAAAGACAAGATATGGGGAAGGGCTTTCAATGAAATATTTAGTTAACATTTGCTCAAATAAGAAAACACAGATTGATAAGCCATTTTAGATAGAAATAGGCATCTAGGGAAGATTATTCAAAATTAGGCCATTGGAAAAGACTGGGTGCAAGGAGATAATAGTACTAGTGAGGTGACCTTGGAGACCTGTGCTTTCAAGACACGGTCTTAAGAGAAATGAAAGTAGGGAGTCCTAAATTTAAAAGATAACCTTAAATTAGTGATTAGTAATCATGATTGTTTTACAAACATTTGTTAAATCCATTAGTGAGCATTCAGTGAGCAATGAATGAATGAATGTGTGTTCAAGGTTCCAGAGATATCAACAAAATACGGAGGCATATACTAATTATAGCAATGGCATAAGGACTCAGGCAATTACATATGTAAGATGCTATAGAACAGGGTGGAAGAAGTGGTTGAGTTTCCTCAAGATCCTTGGAGAAAGCATCACAAAAGTATTGGTTCTCAAAGGGCGTTTTGAAGAAAGTAGAAACTGACCAGGCAATTAAGAAAAGGAAGGATATTTCAGACCTCTGAGCAGTGCAGGAACAAACATACACAACATACATCTGGAAAACTACAAAGGGTTTGTCAGGGCTGGAGGCCAAAGTATTTACCAAGCAAGGTCAAGGTCAGAGGTAGCACAGGCATGCAGTGAGAAATCTCTCCTTGCTAATGGCCTAGGAAGAGTCTTGTGTGCTATATTAGGCTTTAGACTTTACCCTAGAGGATTCCTAGGAGGAGATAGTTGAATTTTCATTACCTTTGTTTTGTTTGCTAACTCTGTAGAAATGGTCACCTTCTAGAAGTTCTCATATTTTTTTTACTTCTTATGACCTATTAAGTATTTATTATCTACCTCTTTGTAGACCTTATATCTGCACTACTCCAACAAGCCTGATGTAACAATCCCCCAGACTCAGCTGGGTACGTGCAGAAATAGAATCACTTTCTTTGTTTGGTGACTTTGTTATTCCATCTCTCATCTGTTAAACAGGCTTCTCTTTTAAGGCGGGAAATTATGAAGAAGTTCCTATTTTCATATCTTAGTAGTGTTAGCTTCTTAGTTGGTGCTCTTCTTGGAGAAGGACTTGTTTTCCTATCCACAGCAAGTTAAAATATAGAATATCCTTTCCTTTAGAGTGTTAATGAAATCTTTCCTCACAATTCTTGGCTCTTACTGTGTATGCTTTCTGTCAGATTCTTTCTTCTCACAATTTCACAAAACTAATGAGCAATCTCAGAATTACATGTGAACAGAGAATCCAAAGAGGTTTAAAGAAAATTAGTAAAAAAAGTAAAGGAAAGGAATAATTTCTCCTGGCGAAGGTTACTGGCAATTCAATAAAATATTACCTAGGACAGAGGGGTCTGAGGAAGTAAATGATATATAACTCTTGAAAGGCAAATGACATATTTTAAAGAGAGCAGTTGACTGGCATGCTGGGATGTGTGAATGGTTATAACTGCCTAAAATAACATTAGAGGTAAATAACATATTACAGTCGTCACTGAACCAGAATTCTTAATAAGCTCGAGCCTTAGAAATGAGTTTTACATCTTAAAAAGTTACATAAACTTGTTCAATCCTCCCTCATATCAATTTATGTGCTTTCTTTCCTACTTGCATCACTTTAACCTGCAGTGTTCTTTTGTATTTTTTTAAATGCAGAGAATATTCAATTGTCACTAAGCTATCTGCATTCTCCCATGCAGCTGTTACTAGCAGGAGCATGCATGTGTAGAAGAGTCATCTCAAAGCTTTGTTATTTAAGTGTTACCTGGTGGAACCTTAAGGTCTAAGAGCTTGTCAGAAATGCTGTCTCTCTGGCTGTACCAAGATCCCCAGGTGATTCATACACAGAGTAAAATTGAAAAGTTGTTACCTGTTATCTCTGCTCCTAAAAACAGTATACTTTTTTTATTGATTGATGCTCTCTTACCACCTCCATAACTATGAATGTTTCTCAAATATTCAGTTTTCTGTTCATTTATTTGTTCATTCATTCCTCCACTGAACATTTACTTACCACTGTAAAATACCAAGCACTTGAGCATTAAAAAAGATAAATGTGAAGTGAGTTAAGAAAGACCACCTCAGTGGTTAGGATGTAAGGTAGATGAGAATGAAGTCTTGGACTTTAAAGTTATTCTCCCTTGGATTAACTATCAGCATAAGCAAATAACTAAGTACAAAACTCAGACAAGATTTTGGTGTGAGTAAGTAAACATGGCTTCTAGTGCCTCCCTATTTCTTCATCATGGAGTACCTGAACTTTGGAGGGCTAAGATGAGTGGGAAGTATGAGGAACCCACCAGATGAGAGAAGAAAAGAACATCAGGTATGCAGCCTTTTATATCATTAGGCTGGGGGTGGGGCCTTGTCTGTACCTAAACTCATGTCTATCACTCATTAAGGCCATTCCTCCATCACCACGATTATAACCTTCCCAGTGACCTTGATATGCTTAACAA